TCTTTATTTAAACATTTTCCATTGTTTAATGTATATCTATTTGAACATGATACACATTTATTTCCTTCATAATAACATTGATCTTCTTTATCTCCATTACATTGATTATTTTCTATTTTATATCCATTTGAACATTTTAAACAATAATTTCTTTCTGATTTATTACATTCATTATCTTTTTCTTTACATTCTCCTTTTTCTTTAATATATCCTTCTTTACATTGATAACAATATGTTTTATATCCTACAATACAATTATCTGGTAACAATTGACATTCTTTATTTGAATTTAAATAATATCCATATTCACATTCAATACATTCTCTTGTTTCTTCTTTATAAATCATCATATTACAATTCTTATATCCAATACTATCTAATGTTATTCCTTTCATTCCAATAATCATTATTTGACTTTTATTTGTTGTTAATGTTGTTTCTGAAAATTCTATATCATTTAAATTAGTTAATGGTTTTGAAGAAGAAATAATTAGTGTTGAAATTGATTTATCATTATTTTCTACTTATTTAATTAATGTTATTCCTTCATTTGATTGTTCAATTGTTAAACTAAATTCAATTCTTTGATATGGTTCTTTCTTTCTATAAATATTGAATTTTGCTTGATTTGTTGATTCATTTTTAACTATCTTTCTGGACATGTATAAGCTGCATGAGTAGTTGATGAATTAAGTTATTTCTAATAATATAATTATTTGTTAATAATAAGATATAGTATTCTGATATGTTTCATTTAAAAGATAGTTGTAGTAGCAACGATAAATGAATTAAAATCATCTTCTTCATCTCTTATGAATGAAAGTAAATATTTTGTTGTTGTTCTATTAAATTCAATATCACAGATAAATAAATAAATAACCATTTCATTACATATTTATTGATTCATCACTCATACATGATGTTACATCTGTGAAACCACTATTAAAACAAATTTTTAAATTAGTGGATTTTAAAGAGATATAAATGTGTTGACAATGTATCAATATATACTTGTTTGTATATTTCTATTATATAAGTTAAGTTTAACACTTTTAAATAAATAAGAATTATCTTCTAAATGAAGTTCAAAATTTTATTTAGTATTAATAAAAGACAATAAATGAGTGTGATATGATGTTAACTTATTTATATTTGTGTTGTTAGATTCTCTACTTTAAATGTATTTATTGTTTTACAAAATTCAATACCATAATTATAACATGAACAATAATTGATAAATTTAATATATGTAAAATAATAATTTCTTGATATTGAAAGCAAAGAAATTGTACATGAACTAATTGCATAAATTATAATTCTTTTTCATTTTCTCTTTTACAATATTCACTAAAACAAATACAAATTAATAAAATTAATAAATAATATTTTATATTTGATTATTTCAGTTCTTTTCTTTTAAAATGTCAATATTGATTATTTCCTCTCTTTTATTTATTTTTTTAAACAGAATAGTTTTATTTAAATATGTATTGAATTTAGTTAATTAAAGTAAAGTATTAAAATGAATTCAAAAATATGAAGTATTGTAAAAACCATAATATTTAATAGTATTCTTATAACTTAATATTATAAAAATGAAAAAAAAAATTAATTCTTATTTTATTATTATGAAAAACTGAAATTAGAATGAAATATGTAAATACTATTTATATTTTTGAAAGAATTAATTAATAATTTTGTTTCTTAATAATGTTTTAATTAAATCAAACACTCTAAATTATTATCATGTAAACAACTCATTAGTTCTTTTTCTTAAAACATTTTTCTTCTTAATTTTCATTAATTTCAGGTTTGTCATTCATTTAATCTCTTTATTGACCAATTAATTTACCATTTTCTCTTTGGTTATTGATTTCTTCTTGTTTGATTTATTAATTATTTTGTTCCTCTTTTGTTTTAACACTCTATATCTCATTCGATGTACAACTCATGAGTAAAAGCAATAACTGTTAATAACAAATGTTTTATGAAGATAGATTACACATGAAAATTATTCACAAGACTCAAATACAATTTTTTTTATTAAATAAATAATGAAATTACTAAAACAAAAGTTAAAATAATAAATTAAAATACTATAAAATATGGTATTTGTTTAGAATATCATTTAAGAAGTGAGAAATTTTTTAGTTTTCAATACTTTTATTTTTCAAATAAATAAAAATGTTATGTAAATCAAAAATCCATTCAATTTAACTTAATGGAACAAGTAATGGTGAAATATTTAATGCCATTAACATATCTCTTAAACGAGGTAAAGAATTAAGGACATTTGGCATTTCAATAACTGAACATTTTTCTAATTTTATCCAAGACTTCATTTTTGTAATATAGTCATTTTGGTTATCTGTTAATAAAGCTTCCCAATCACATTGAAATCCTTTAGGAATAACTCCGATTTGTTTAAATCCAGCACCAAGTAATAATCCAAACATCCAATACATACCACATCCAGCAGTTCCTCTAGTCAAAGGCATAAAATTAAACCATAAGTAACAGAATCGAAGAACTGCATCTAAGACTTTGTCTTGGTCATTAGAATGTTGAACAGTATAATATTTGTCAAGAGCTTTTTTCAATTCAACATCAAATACTTTATATCTTTTAGGAGTACATGGAGTTTTGATAGAAAACATACTTCCTAATTCAACTTTCTCAATTAATAACCAAGTACCTTCTAATCTTGTTCCTTCTTCATTTCTACAAATTGTTGTCATAAAGAAATTATCTCTTTTTAATACTTTTTGAACTTCATCAACTGTTTCTGCTTTTGCAACAAGTTGTTTCTTTTCTTTAGAAGCTCCACTTTCTTCTTCAAATAATTTTTTAAATAATCCAAAAGTACGTGGAAACATTGGCCAATAACGGGCAACTCTTGTTTGTGCTGTCTTAAGTGTAGTATTTGATCCAAAACCTTCTTCAAATTGTTGTCTTGGTAATTTATCAATCCAAATAGCTCCGTCAGCAGGTTCAGCTACTTGTCTAAATTTAACTAAAATTTCAGCAATTTCCCTCCATCCCATTTGCTTTGTTTGAAGAAGTTGAGCAATACAAATAGCCCCTAAACCACATGCCAAATATTGTCTTCCATTTTTACCAAACCCAAGTTCATTATATTGCATTTTATCACCAACTTTTATAGCAGGGATTAATAACTCTTTAACTAATTCTTGCTTTACAGTTGTTTTAGCATCAATATCTTCAGTAGTAATTTGAAGAGGAACGTTTCCAGGTGGATATTTTTTAACGTTCCCAATTGGAAGTCTTTTAGCAAAATTAACTTTCCATTGTGGTGGGAACCATTCTAAATCATATTCTAAAAATGGTTTGTCTATCATCATTGCTTGGTATTTTGCTATTTCTCCAAAATACCATGATGCATTATCTTTAGCTTCATATCCTAATTTTGCTGATTTTAAACAACTTCTATTCATTCCTAATGCTAAACATGCCGTTGCATTTAATCTATGAATATCTCCTGTTCTTTCTGGTGGACATACTGATAATGATCTACTAATTAATGGTAAAGCCTCTCTATGTCTTCCTGCAGATGCCAATACATTAGCCATAACATAATATGATAAATGGTTTGTTGGTGCTAATTTCATTGCTTTTTCCAATAATTGTTTTGCACGAACATAACATCCTATATCTCTATATAATTGTC